AGAGGCATATTGCAAAGAGGACTGGGGGTAAGGGTGTACATCAATGAACGTTTTTTTAAAAAGGGAACTGGGGAAGGGAAAAGGAAGGGAGAGGGGGTAAAATGTACAAGGAAGTCATGAAAACCTAACTTTTCTGTAAATTTTCATTAAAATCACAATTTATAAAAAAAAATTATCAATGATTTCCTCTTGCTTGGATCCGCAATCACTAATACATTGGGCACCAGTAGCTGCCAAGAAACGAAAATGACCTATTGTATCAGAAATGTCTGCTGTCAGGGACCCCCACCCCCACCCCGCCAAGTGCTGAAAAGTGGTATTATCTTTTTGAAGACTAAAGTGCACCAGAGCCAAACCACAATCTTTTCAATTACTTGTTATCTAGCTGAATGCTGGACATTAAAAACGGATGGCAGAAGAATCATCAGTGCCCTTGAGCTGTGGCCTTGGACTATCTGAATATCTCACGGATTGCCAAAAAGACAAAAATGTCTTGGAAAAATGCAGCCAAAGTGTTCCTTGGAGGCAAGGATAGTGAAAGTCCATTTCATAGGTTTTGGGCATGTTGTTTGGAGAGGTCTGTCCTTGGAAACGGCTGTCCTGGAAGATGCTTGGAAGATGGAGGGTCAGCAAAAGAAAGACCGTCAACCAGATGGGCTGACAGTGGTTCGAGTCCCACGGTGGGTATCAAGATGGTGCAGGAGAGGGCAGCGTTTAGATCTGCTGTTCATTGGCTGCTATGAGGCATAGTTGACTCTACGGCACTTAACAACTTCCCAAGCACCATGTTCTTCTCCAAGAACTGGGCCTCCCGATAACATGACTGATGTGTGTGAGACCAGCTCTCCCTGCTCCTAATTGGGTCTCTGGCTGCCTTTCTTTCCAGGATAGGTTTGAAGGTTAATGAGAAAGTGAAACTGGAATGATCGTTGTTGTGTGTCGAGTCAGAACCGACCCACAGCTGACCCGCCAGCAGGCTTTCGGAGGCAGTCTTCACACTTGAGGAGCTCGCCCATCCTTCTCCTGTGGGGCAGCTGGCAGATTTGAACCCGCTGCTTTGGGGCTTGCACTGGAGACTCTTAACTTTAGGCCACTGTAATTATTACGGCTGTAAATTTAAGTGGTAAATGGAAACAAGGCCCTGGGTATCATGAAAAGACAGTAACTGCCTAGAGCAGGGAGGGGACACTGGTGTCAAGGAGTGGCATCTGGGACGCCCTGCTGTCCTGTTTGGATGGTTCGTGCACTAAGGGAAGCTCTGTAGGAAAACTCAGAACACACATTTTTGCTCTCTACACCTTTAAGACGTGTGCTGATTGACAAAAGTAAAAGTAATCCTTCAAACCAACCCAAAGTAATGTGGTTTCTAAGAATAAATTTAACAAAAATGAGAACCCTCTCCAGCGAAGTACAAAACTTTATTGGAGGCATTTTTCAAAAGACCTTAATAATCAAATCATAAAGATATCAATCTTATCCAGATTGATCCGTGGAGTCACGTGATTCCTCTCAGATCCTAAAAAGAATGTGACAAAACCAGGTTTAAGAGAAAGAGGTAAATAATCCAATAGAAAAATGGGCACAGGATATGAACAGGCACTTCACCGAAGACGACATTCAGATGGCTAACAAACACATGAAGAAATGCTCAAAATCCCTAGCCCTAAGAGAGATGCAAATTAAAACAACTATGAGATATCATTTCACCCCAGTCAAAATAGCAAAATTTAACAGAACATCAAGCAACAAATGCTGGCGAGGTTGTGGAGAAACTGGAACCCTGATTCACTGTTGGTGGGAGTGTAAAATGGTGCAACCCCTGTGGAAAGCAGTATGGCGCTTTCTTAAAAAATTGCAAATAGAGATACCATTTGACCCAGCAATGCCACTATTGGGAATATACCCTGAAGAGACCATAGCTGACATCCAAGCAGATATATGCACACCCATGTTTATTGCAGCTTTGTTCACAATAGCAAGGAGTTGGAAACAACCTAAGTGCCCATCAACAAACGAATGGCTAGAGAAGCTGTGGTATATTCGCACAATGGAATACTATGCTGCATTAAAAAACAAGGAACTCATGCAATATTATTCAAAATGGTTGACTCTGGAGAACATTATGCTGAGTGAAATATCCCAGTCACAAAAGGACAAATATTACATGATGCCACTGTTGTAGAATGGGACTGTCCTTGGGGTTGGGGAGAGACTGAGTAAGATGGGTTCAATAATGTATACTGCACTGAAACAGAGGAGGGAGAAAGGTGTTTAAAAGAGATATATAACTAGGTATTTCTGTCATCACAGGAGACTAGAGCGAGGGCTGCATGGTGGACGGGACCTGGGGGAGGGTTTGTAAAACAATGAAAGAATCTTTTCTTTTACTTTTCCATAATTTTTGACTCATGTACTTATAACTTGTTAGTCAAATTTGTGTCTTCTAGGTTGCAACACCCCCATGATACATCTTCAAGGATATGAACATGTACGGCCAAGCACAATCAATAAGAGTGCATCTAAATTCCAAAATCAATCTCCATAATAGTCTATGTGTTTCCTACTGCCAAAGGGGCCCTTTAGAGTAGTGAGAGAAGATCTTCACCCTGAAACCCACAGCGTCCCTTTTCAGCAGGAAGTAGCTAAGAGAATACGCCATCCCCATTCCCTTATGACTCAGGGTGAAGTCTCTCTCAGGGAGGAGTGATAGGGAATGGCAAAGGACACACTGACAAAGAAGATTAATCAGAACTGGCTTTGACAAGCACTGTGGCATTTGGACAAGAACAAACTGGGAGGAGGGTAGAGAGAATAGTGCAACAATGAATGAATGGAAACCCAAAATCTCTGTAAATGTTTATGAAAATTAATAAAATATAATTATAGAAAAAAAAAGAGGCCAAAGGATGTCAAAGACTAATTAGGTGGGGTTTCCAGGTAGATGTCACACCTTAGGAAGGGTTATAAAGTTGTAGCGATTAAGATAGGTTGTCGACAGACAGCAGGCCCCTTCACAGCATGTACACACACACAGGGCCATCTGGTTGAACTGAGCTGGGCTGCTGTGACTTTGGGTAAACCGAACAGAGCAGGTGCCAGGCGAGAGGCCTGGCCATCACGGACCACCAACAAGAAAAGACTTGAGAGCACTGGACTGTCATGTGGGGTCACTGTAAACAGAGTTGCCCTATACCACACAACCATACAGAAGTCCCCACATTTGTCTACTTAGTGAATGACCAGGGCAGGTGGCATCACAGTGCCGCTCTATACAGTTTGGGGGGTGAGGGTGGACCCCAGCGGGGGGTGGCGAAGACCCCTACTTGAAGCATACGCATAGGTCCTTCGCCAACTATCTCTCTGTTCTCACCCCCTAAAGCCTTCTGCCATCATAGTGAATAGTCTATCTGTGTGGTCTCCTCTGTCCATAGTCCTTCAACTGCCAAAGCTGTCCCTTTCATCCCCAGGACCAACGCCTACACATACACCCCACCACACCTTTCAACCTCTTCCTCCGAAGCCCACAGGAGAGCCTCAGAGGGAAGGACCCACCTGTCCCAGTGGTGTCCTCACACTTCATTTGGCCCTGGGCCAAGAGCTGCACTGTTCCGCCTGCCCCACCCAGGTCCATGGTCAACGGCACACCAACACTCTAGTGCCCTCTGGAAACAGCTCCGAGGATCACAGCACTTGATACACAGAAATGGGCCCGCACTCATATGCATGAGGCCCCCACATGCTCTTTGGATAGTGTCTAGCCATGGACTGTGTCCTCTGCACATCCTAACAACCTTCCCTCATCATCGCCATTATCATCAACCGTACGCTTGGCCAGGGAACTGACAGAGGAGCAGCCAGGCCCCTCGGCCCCAGGAGTGGGGCCTCCACATGGGGCGGCAGGGATGCGGAGTTCTGGCCAAAGACAACAGCAGTGAGTTCTTCAGAGGCCACAGCACTGCAGCTTGCCGCGGGAAGGGGTGGGCCAGCTGTAACGATAGCCCACCCTCATGCAGCTTGTCCAACCAAGTCCCTCCAGAGCTTGGGTGGCACTGGGAGCACGCATCTGTGGAGAAGGCTCCCTGGAGGTGGCTCACGGTGGTGAGGAGGCCTGGGTGCGGTGTCCCTCCTGGACAGAAGTAGGGAGGGCAGAATTCCAGCGAAGACTGCCAGCAGGAAATGGCCACTTCCGCAAAGGCTCTCGTTCTGTAGGCACCTGGGTCCTCCTCACCCAGAGGACAGCCCCTGCCTTTAGGGGTACCTGGCGGCCTGGGTGCCCACTCAAGCACTGGCCCTGTGTCAGACTGTCCCTCTCCCCAGAGCGAGCCTTGGGCCCTGGAAACAACTTCAGGGCAAGGGGAGGCTAAACTGGGGAGGGGTTGTTGACAATGTGGGGTGATCACCTCCACTGCTGCTGTCACTGCCCTGCTGGCCATGGGCTAGTCCCACCCTGAGTCCAGTCCTTCCCTTCCTCTGTTGTTTATAGCTCCCCTCCAAGAATGTGCCAGCAGTTATGTCCTGCGGGGACAGATGATGGCCAGGACACCCACACCCCCCACAGTCCTGCCACACATCTGAGGCCATGCTCAGGCCAACAGTGTCTCCATCCTGCTGTCCTGGGCTCTGCTGGCACCGGTCAGTGCACAGGAGCCTGTGTGCTAACAGTCAGCCCAAATCCCAGTTCTGTAAGGGACCAGTGAGTGTCCAGAGGCCAATCCCCCTTCCTGAGACCACCTTCTGGGTGGCTTAACAACTCACTAAATCTTCCTAGAATGTCTGCAAATAGGCAGCACAAAGCGACGGTGGCAAATTAAGAAGCAGAGAGGGGCTAGTAGCCCCCCCGACAGTGGAATTCAGATCATCCCTCAGGACGCACTAGCCCACCGGAAGCCAGTGGACTCAGTGGGACCAGAGTGGCAGAAGGGGGCGGTCTCTCCTGCTGTCACCACCATCCCAAGTGTCCCACCGTGCCCACTGGGGCCACGAGTCCAGGTGCATCTTCATTACAAGAGGTTCACCTTGGACACCACTTGTTTGCAGCCAGTGACCGAGTACTCACGGCCAGAGACGCGATAGTAGCTGAGCTGGGCCGCCAGGCGTTCAGCCCGGGCCTGCTCAGGAAAGAAGCCCTCCCCGGCCATCTCTTCCCGGAAGCAGTTGACCACATCCCATTTGTCCAGCAGCAGGAAGGGCACGATGGCCGCTGACTTCCAGAGCGGGTGCTCGCGGGTCAGGACGCCCCGCAGGGTGGCGCGCAGCTCCTCCTCCGCCCGGCCTTCCTCCCGACCCTCGTGGCCACCCTCAGGCCTGGGCTGTTGGGGCAGCGCCCGGGAGGCATTCTGCAGCACGAAGCGCGTGATCTCCCCGCCGCCCGCGCCACTCAGGAGGACGTAGATGGCGCTGTGGAACTGGCGTGACCTCTGTGGCTGCAGGAAGCCGTGCACCTCGTCCAGCAGCGTGGGCGCCATGGCCTCCACCTCGTCCAGCACCAGCAGCGGCGTCTTCTCCTCCGCCTCTGCCCGCGCCACTACGTCGGCCACGCGCTGGGCCAGCTCCTCGCGGCAGGCCTGCGCTCCTCGCAACTCCGGACAGTGATGGCGCGCGTGGTACTGCAGCACCAGCGCGCCATCGTCGAGCACCGCGCGGAAGTGGCGTGCCAGCAGGCGTCCCACATGGCTCTTGCCCACCCCGCTGGGCCCATGCAGTGCCAGGAGCAGTGGGCGGCTATGGACGTGCGTGGCCAGGTAGTCCCGCAGCAGCGCCACAATGCGCCTTATGGCGGCCGGCTGCCCAAACACGGCGCGCTGCAGCGCCTTCTCCAGCCCATCGAGGTCATAGCGCTGAGCATTGTCATCCAGGTTCTCGATGGCGTTGAGCACCTGGAAGCCCACGATGGCCACCAGCAGCAGCAGGCAGTGCTGCGCACGGCTGCGGCGTTCGGCGCGTGGCAGGTACTTGCGCGAACTCTCGGGGTACAGCACCGCGCGGCTGCGCCTGCGCTTCTTGCGCGACGCCCTCGAGGGAAGCTCCGCGGCGCCATCGAAGGTGAAGAAGCGCGGCTGCTCGCCCCCCGCGCGCGGAGCCCCGGCCTCGGGTGCGCCAGGCAGCGGCGGGCGACGCTTGCGCAGCAGACACACGCGGCGGCGCAGGCGCAGCACAGCCCGGACGGGCGCGATCACGCACGGGCCCCGGGTGCGGGGCGCTGCGGGCTCCAGGCTGGGCGGGCCGCGGTCCATGGCTCCAGCTCGGCATGCAGTCCCTGCAACGGGAATCGGGGTTCCGCACTGGCGCAGCACCGGGAGCCTCCTGGGACCCCCCCCTCCCAGGGCTCTTCCTGTGCAGCCGCGGCGCAGCCCGGGGTAACCCACAGTCAGGACCTGGGCCTTGCCGCACTGCCCAGGAAACAGCTTCCAGGGGCCCCATGCAAAACCCTCCGGGGTAAACAGCGGTCACGGCTGCCGCAGGGAGGAAGTGGCTGACGGGGTGGGGGATGGCCGCAGCTTATCGGCCTCCTGGCCGGCTTCCTGGAGAAGTTGCTGCTGACTCGAGGTGACAAGGGGTCTTGGGAGACCCACGCCCATCCCGGCCCCTCTACGTCTCAATGGAGGGCCGCAGGGAGCAAGAGCCAAAGTTGTTCTCCCATTCAAGGACACTTGGCAGGGGCTCTGACCGGAACTTCTGTTTTGTAAATATGGGCCCCAATCCTGGCCGGGGTCAGCCAGACCTAAAGGAACCTGCGCCCAAACTAGGGATCACCCTAATCCCGCAAGGGACACCTCGCAGAGCTGCTGCAGTGGCAGAAGGGGGTGAGGAACAAAGCTGGCTTGCTACATGAGAAGAGGGGACCAGAGGGGTCTCGTGAACCCCAGACACTAGACAACTCAAGGGGGTAGATGTGAGCCTCACACTGGGAGCCCCTGGCACAAGCCTGGATGCAGCATCCCCAACACCCCCATACCTGCAGCTGTATCCGGCCTTGCCCAGCAGCTGCTCCGCGAGACTGGGACAGAGACCTCCTGGAGCGAGAGTGGGCCGAGAGGGCAACAGTGGATCCCTGGGCAACACTGGCGCCACAAGCGCTGGAAGGTTTCCGCTTCTCTGAAGGAAGTGAGTCAGGGGTGCGGCGGGCGGGACTTGGCTGGATGAGGCGTGGAGGGAGGACTTGGGCTTTAGCCAGGGTCATCTTGCCTCCTCCCCTGCGGGTTTCCAAGACCACTGGTAGGTCCAGGCCCAGGGACACCTGCTATGCGCCTCACCCAGATCCCTGCTGCTCACCCTGCCCTGTCAAGACTCTCGCCTCCCCACTGGCCATAGAGTCTGTAGACAGCTCTGCTAACCAGAAGTGGTACCTCTGGCCCTTCAGGTCCACCAGTGGCTCTGCAAGAGAGCTAGGCAATGTCCCACACGACTTTCAGGTTAGAAACTCACTGGCTGGTCAGGTGAAGCTGGTTCCCCTCCAGCAACAGGTGAGGTGGCCCCAGGAACCTAGGTCCCAGTCAGCCCTAGACTCAAGTGGAAGCTGCTGGAAGCCCAGATCTTCAGGTGCCCAGGTTGCCTACAACCATCCACCCCACCACCCATCCCTGGGCTCTGGGAAGTTGGTCTGTCCTACCCAGGACCCTCAGGCTCCACTGTCCCAAGTACAGAAGCAGCCGCGTCAGGACTACTGATGCTTTCTGCCACCTTCCCATGAGCATCCTTGTCTTCGGGGGCAGGGGGGAAGCCCACCTCTCTCCTCCTCTAGAAATGCCTTGTGCATGGTCTCTGCCCCCAGAAGCTTCTGGAACTCTTGCTGTCTGCTGAGGTCACCTCCTCTCTGACCATGCCCTCCACACCCTCAAGTCATCTTAGTGGTAGGCTTGGCCCTGGGTCTCCAGAGGCCCCCAGCAGTTTCCCTCCTCAGTGGCAGAAGCCTAGGCACTTGGTGGGCACTCACAAAGAGGATGCCTATACCAGCAGGGGACACCTGACCCAGCAGCCAGGTACCTCCAAGAATCTAGGGCTACACCAGGTAAGAGCTTTGGAGTGGTCTTCCCTGAGCCCCCTGATGCCCAGTGGATGCTGACAGAGTCCAGCAGACCTGCAGGGCTACGACCCAGCACGCAGAGCCTAGCTGGCCCTGTTAGGACAGGGTAGTGTTACCACTGGGATCCCCCCTGCCTGTGCTGTGTGGCAGGTAGAGCTGAAGGCCCCCAGTCCTGTGTCCGGCCCCACACAGGGAGTCACATGCTTACCAAACAGCCTTTTATTTACAAAGCACCACCGTCACGTGGCCAGCTGGTGCTGCTGAGGGGGAAGGGGTAGGTATCCCCACAAACAAGGGACATAGAGTGCTGGCTCTCCTGGGCTAACCCCAGCACAGTATCTTGTACACAGGCCAGGCTTCCTGGTATGTTGGGGGCACAGATTACCCCCAAGTTCAACTCCACAGCTGCCAAAACGTGCCCTCATCCCATCCTGGGTCATTCTCAGCACCTGGAGGTCCCACAGCACCAAGGTGGGCTGAAAGGTCCTCCATGCCCCCATGTGCAAAGACCTTCACCCAACTGAAGTCCTGTCCACCCTCTCCAGGGGTCACAAAGCCAATACACAAGTCCAAAAGCACACTCCTCCAAAGCAGTGTCAGGCGGCCTGGCAGCCACGGAGTGACCACTATGGACCCTGCAGGCTGGGTGTGGAGAGGGGAGTGGTGGGCAAGTGGCCGCAGACACAGCTCTCAGATGAACCACATGTCTCCACAAGGCTGTGTCCCCAGTGCCTGTGCCCGTCAGAGTTGTGGGTCATTTGGGCGGTCACTGTACAGCTGGGGCAGACACGGGGGGCAAGGGAAGCTCCAGCGCAGGGGTCTCAGCCGCTGGGGCCGGGCTGGACTTTCGGTGGTCTAGCTGCTCCAGCTTCTGGCCGAGCTGCACATACAGCTCCTTTACAGCCTCCCCACTCTGCGGAAAGACACACGGGTCACCCAGGGTCAGCTCCCCCTCACATGTGGGTTCCCTGGGTTCCTACACACAAGTCGGCTAGGATCACAGGACTGCTGTGTCTGCAAGCTAAGGTCAGGAAGGTCACAGGAGCACTGAGCCTCCCCAGATGATGGTTCACGGAGGGTGTGGGCAGCCCTCACCTGGCCAGTGGGCTCCAGGGCTCGCTGCAGGGCTTCCAGCCTGGCGGGCGCCACCCGGTGGTGCAGGTGGAGCAGCAGTCGCAGCACGTGTCTGTGAACGTTTTCCTTCCTGGGGTGGGGGCAATCTGGGCTGAAGTGCAGGCTCTGCCCCCGAGCACCCACCCACTCCCTCAGCCTCACAGAAGAAGGGCAAGTGACACAGGCAGAGCAGCCCAGGCCTCAAGGGCCCAGCACCTTGAAGATGCCATCAGGAGGAAACCATCAAACAGGCTGGTGCAGAAGTCCTCCAATGCGAACTCATCAGCCAGCAGCGCCAGGTTCCCCGTGAGAAGGTGCAGGAAGATGTCCCCAAACGCCAGGTCCCCAAATGTCTCCACTGTAAGAAAGGACTTGTCAGTGTCCATCCAGACCTGCACTGGAAGGGTGGCCATGTCAGCGCCTCCCACTCCTGGGCACATGGTGTGTGAGGGGCTGTGGTTCCCATGCACACCAGAGTAGGGATCCAACAAGGTGAAAGTGAAAAGGGGCGCAATGGTGGGGACCACAAGGTGGGAGTGTCAATTGTACACTGTGAAGTCACAACCCAGGAGCAAAGGAGGAAGCCACAAGTGGGCTAGGAACCAGGCTTAGTCACACTTAGCCTTGTCCAGAAACCCCTAACTTGACTCTGGAAGAAAAATGAAACCTCATCAGACCAGAGATCACCCCGCCAGAAGATGAGGACAAAGAAGAGGCCCCACCCTGGCTGAAGCCACCAGGACAGAAGCCTAGCCCGAGCCCATGTCTGACTCAGAGAGGGTCAGTTCCTGGCTGGAACAGAAAGGCCTTCCCACCCCAGAATGGTGTCCAGATAAGCAAAGGTAGACAGAAGGTCCCAAGGACAGGCCCAGAGGGTACACACGACCCGTGAGCTCACACAGGCTGCAAGGACACCGCCCACCCTGCTCATGAGCTCCAGGTCAGGCATGAAGTCCCACTGGGTACCTGGGACCTCAGGGCCAGCCTGGTACTCTGGGGATCCTGCACCCAGCAGACCTATGTCCTCAACATAGGACAACGTGGCCACTCTGGAAAGTCGCTGTTAGGAACACTGGTCACTGCACAGGGCATGATGACACCCAAATTCCCTGCAACTAACAAACTATGGGTCCAGGACTGCTCTGGAAGTGCTACACATCTTGATGGATACTTCAGAGGGCCCTGGGGCTTTGCTGGACACAGTAAAACGTCATAAATGGAAAGGGACTGCAGCCCGATTGGAGACATCCTTCCTATGCAAGTTCTCTCTAAACCTCAAACTGCAGAAAAGGAACATCCGTGGGGTCATGGGTCATCTGAGGCAAGAATACAAGGTACGAGCTGCAATACTCAACAGAGATGGGGTTCACCAGCCCACACACAGCAAGGTCACCAACCAAGAACACCGTGGGCAGGACACCTTGTCTGCTTCCTGGCTGGGCTTTTATGCTCCACGTGCGAGTAAGGCTGGGAAAGCATCACCCTGCACCAACCACTGTGTACTAGCAAGACGATCACAACCCAGAATAGAGGCCTCCAGAAAGGGCCCAGGAGCGACAGTCCAAGGCCCTGCTGACACTCTTGTCCCAGCCCAGGGCAGTGGGGGCCGTAGTCTCAGAAGTGCTAGAGGAGCAGCTGTGCCAGCAGCCTCCGGTGGGCCTCTGCACAGCGGTCCCTCTCCCTCCCCCACAACTAAGACTACAGACAAGAGCTGAGAGATGTTAGGCTGTCCTAGGAAAGGGGACCCTTGACACAGCAACTATGACACAGTTTTGGCTGTGGGTGCACCATGGCACTGCAGCAGGTTTGAGAAGGGTTCTTGGGGCTGTGGGGGGCCCCTGGCGGTAGGCAAGGCCTGGGCAGTGGATGGGGTATGTGCAGGGGGTTCACTCAGGCCAGGGTCTTGGGGCTGGTGGGGTCCCTGATTGTGGGCAAGGCCTCGGTGGTGGTGGGCAAGGTCTGGGCAGTGGACAGGATGTGCAGTGGGTTCACCCTTGGGGCTGTGGGTAGGCGCCCAGTGGTGGTGGACAGATGTGTGCAGGGGCTCTCCCAGGCCAGCACCCAGTGGTGGTGGACAGGCGTGTGCAGGGGCTCTCCCAGGCCAGCACCCAGTGGTGGTGGACAGGCGTGTGCAGGGGCTCTCCCAGGCCAGCACCCAGTGGTGGTGGACAGGCGTGTGCAGGGGCTCACCCAGGCCAGGCAGCAGACGGAGCAGCGCACTCCTATTCCTCTGCTTCGCTGTGTGCAGCACATAGTAGAGCCCCACCTCGCAGGCCATGCGCTGCTCCTGCAAGAACCTGCATGGGAAAAGGAGCTGTCTGCTCACTCAGGTGACTCTAAGGGACTCCCCCACCCCAGGGATGTTTCCTCAGAACATTCCCCCACTGTCCCAACTAGAGGGGGACAACTGTAAACAGCCCTGCCCTCAGCAGTACTGATCAGACACAGCACATGTACCGTGATCCCAAAGGAGTGTGGCCCCCACCCCCAGGCCCCCATACTTGGTAAAGCTTTCAGGGAGGGTGTTGGGGTAGGTGACTGGGGCCTTCTCTTCGGCAGGAAGCTTCTGGTCCACGTTGAAGGTGTGGTCATCCACCACGAAGGACATGAGTGTGGGCAGAAACCTGGTGACCAGCTCCACCTCCTGGGGGTGTGGGGGACTGAGTCACCAGCACCCCACCACGCTCCTGCCCCTCCAGTGTCAGCCACCCAGAGTGGGAAACCAGGTCCAACTGGGTTGCGTATCGACACACCCACTGCCCTTGGCCTTCAATGTGGAGCTCTGAGCCGGGGAATACCCAGCACCTGGACTCCACACTGCCTGGTAGTAAGGGGACCCAGCTGAGGAAATTTACCATCTTGGGCTCCTTGAAGACTTGGCTGTCGATCATGTCCCAAGCGCCCTGTCCCAGTGACAGGAGCCGAAGCAGCAACAGCAAGTCAGGGCTGTCCTGTGTGGAAAAGGCCAGCTCAATTGAGCTCACGTTCTTTCCTAGGGCTTCCTGGCACCTCAGTCTCAACGGCAGGCTCTACACGGACCCGCCAATGACACAGGACCAGAGCACCTTCTTCTAGCAACAAAGCTTCCTTCACTTGACTTCCATCTCCCAAAAGGAAGGGCACCATCTCACTTGGGTCCCACCAGCAGCCCACTTACCTCACCTGACACACCCTCAGCCGGCGCCCACACTGCATGCACACACCACACAGCAAGCACATGCCCCCCATACACCGTACACAAGTCCACACCACCCAACCACTTACAAACACCCACACACATGCTCCCACAATGTCCCTCCCTAGCACCGACGTATCAATTACACTCACCCCCAAAGCCCCACACCCACCCTGGGCAGCGTCTCCTGCCCCACCAGCTCCTGCAGGTGCCTGATGGTGCTCAGTGAAAGCGTGTTGATGGCGAAAGGGTCGCACAGGATCATGGACAAGTCCCTGGGAGGACAAAGAGCAGTATGACCATGAAAAGCCCAGGTCCCCTGAGGGTGGCCTCCCTCCAGATGGGGGCAAGCTCTCACCCCAGCACTTGCTCCTGCCCCTTCTTCACTCCATCAAGAAAGCCCTGCAGCTCCCTTGCCCGCTTGCTGTCCACGAACCGTTCCCGGATGCAAGCGTCGAGGCACCAGGTGAACTGTGGGGAGATACCGTCAGCACGCAGCCCCTCAGCCAGATGCCAGAGAGTTTGCATCTCTGGCACCATCACAGCCTTCCGACCTCACTCAGGCAGGGTCCACTCCAGGCGGGCAGGGGCCCTGGGCAGGGCAGGGCAGGGCAGGGCAGGGCAGGAACTCTCATCCCTGGAGCCTCACCAGTAAGCAGCCTGAGGGCTCCGAGGGAGGGCAGAGGCAGCTAGAAGTTCTGGGACCCATGCAGGCCGGGAGGAGACATGGGCAACTGAGAAGCCTGTACGCCTCTGGAGCAGAGGGAAAGGCACAGGACCATACTGAGGGACAGCTGGCTTCCCACTCGGGTGCTGGGGTGACCTCCTGCACTAGACCGGGCTCACAGAGAACAAGCCCATGGGGTGGAGCAGCTGGACACGCAACAGCTCAGTGTCCACGAGTGCGTCACAGAGGCAGGTGCTACCTTGTGGCAAGGGTCCACAGTGCAGATGTCACTGACGTCCAGGTCGTGCAGCGACATGAGCAGCTCGGCACGCAGCGTGCAGTAGTGCACGTTCCGTGTGCGCAGGAAGAGTGTGCGCAGAAACTGCAGCACCATGTCGTACAGCTTCACGTTCTTCCCCACCATGCGCGTCAGCTGCTGCACCACCTGCCAGCACAGGCTCGTCAAGCCCTCCCCGCCTGAGGACCCCTCCTCCCCGCCTGAGGACCCCTCCTCCCCGCCTGAGGACCCCTCCTCCCCACCTGAGGACCCCTCCTCCCCACCTGAGGACCCCCTCCGCCCGCCTGAGAGGATGCCCTTCCCCTCTTATGAAACAAATGAGTGGGAGTTTGTGCAAGGGAGACCAGGACCTCTCCCCACAGCTAGGGCTGGTGGGACCACACAGGGATTCCAAGACTTAAGCCAGCCATAAATGAACACGCTTGGAAGGGACGGTTTCTCCTCCAGCACATGCTGCCCACCAGAAACAAGTCCCATGTGAGTCAAACATGGAGATGTGGTGACGACTGTGAGTGTGAGACACTGACATGCAGGACGGAAGATAGACACGGTGTAGCTCATCATGTGTGGAAGTCATGCACCTTCCGGATCAAGGACATGGAGCTCTGGTGGCAGCACCCAGCAGCTCTGAGGGAAACAGTCTCCTTCCCTTGGACTTTCAGCCTCAGAAACCCTGAACCAACTCAACAAAGTGAGATTCATGAAAACAGATCGCACCTAATACTTCTTAACACAACTACCAGAAAATCGAGGGAGCAGTGGAGGCTGAAGGGTGAGGCGTCAACTACCAATGCAGACATGTGTGATCTGAACCCAGCACATGCTCCACGGGGTAAACCACTCCTCCCGTGGGATTTACTGCCTCTGAAAACCCACTGGAGGCTCAGCTGAGAGTCAGTTCCAACTCAATGGTACACAACCACAGAAACGGAAAGCTGTGTGTTGTTTATGCAGTCGGCTTTACCATCCCACCAAACAGAATCAGCCGGTAAAAAGTCTCAAAAAGAAGGGAACTCTGGTGGCCTTGTGGCAATCCCAAAGGCACGGTTCGAATCCACCAGTTGTTCTACTGGAGGAGGAGAAATCTCCTCTTGTGCCAGTGGGACCTGACTGGATGGACACAACAAAAAGAAAACACAACAACCTCAAAAATAAACATTACTTCAAATTTGAATTTCAAGTAACAGCAACCTAAACAGTAGGCGTAGTCCCGCGGTGACTGGCTTCTAAAGATTCTAAACCACCAAGTGCCAAACTGGTCAGTGAACTTGCTAGTTATGAAAACAAACAATGAAGACGAGGTGCCACGAAAGGCCAGGTGGGATCTGTCCCACACAGAAAAAGGGACAGCACCAAGACAGAGAGCAGGCAAGCCTCTTCCCACCAGCCTAACCAAGGAGCAGCCCCCACCCCCAGGTACAGCACTCACGGGGAATGGGGACCTAGGGGCCTTACCTCCCCCTGGCGCCTCGTCTTGGGTGAGGGGCTGAAAAAGTTGTGCAGGACGGAAAGCTGGGAGCTGAAGAGCGCGGCCTCCTTCTCCAGGATGTACTGCTTCAGCAGCGGGGAGACCTCGTCCCCAAAGAGGGCCTGGTTGTCCTGCCAGATCTGCCGTTTGACCTCCACAGCACAGGCTCGGTACAGCTCCTTGTCAGCCATCACCAGCTTCAGCTTCTTTTCAGGTACCTGAGAGAGAGGTTCATTTGTCAGCCACGTCTGTGCCCAGGACCTCTGTCCAGACAGGCTAAGTGGCCACAGGCCCCCAAGGCAGAAACCTTCACCAGCCCAGTTCCCACCAGGGAAAGTCAGCATCTATGACTGGCTTCCGGGCAGCAGGCAGGAGGGCAAAGCCAAATCCCTTCCTGTCAAGTAGACTCTAAACCATGAGGGCAGAAACACAAGTGCTCCACAAGATTTTACTGAATGTAAAGTTTACGGGAGCTCTAATGGCCGAGTGGGCAAGGATTTGTGCTGTCAACCCAAAGGCCAACTGTTCAAATCCTTCAGCAGCAGCTCAGGAGAAAGATGAACAACGTTCTCTGTCCAAGTTACAGCTTGAAAGCCTGCTGGTCAACTACGAACGGGGTCCAATTTAACGGCAACGAGACAGAGATGCAGGGCCTTGCTCGTGCAGTGTCACAGGGCGATGCAAAGCCCCCTGCAGAGGAAGTTCAGCACTGTGAGGGGAAAGGGGCACTGCTTCTCAGCTGAGACCTGAGGCTCTCCACGCGGAGAGCACACAGCTGAAACCCTGCACCACGTGCACGCTGAACCGGATCCCCCACACTGGGCAGCAGTCCACTCGCCTTCGGCAGGTGCTTCATGACACACATCACCACCGGCTGCAGGGACGGCATCTTCACCAGAGAAAAGCTCTTCTCCAGCAAGTCTTCCAACTTCTTGTACCTGGAAAAACACGCACAGGCTGGACTCAGGCCACCTGCCTCGCTCCAGGTCCTCGGCCACGCCACCAGGTAAGGGATAAGCAATGCTGCTAAGCCCTTTCCCAGGCTGAGAAGTCACAAGTCACCTGCCCACAACACAGCTGGACGGAGACCTACCTTTCCTCAGCCTTGCCCTCCAAGGCGATGGCCGACACTCTATCCAGCAACTTGTCCCGAAGCTCATCGAACACCGACTGGTGGAACTCCAGCCGGGGCGTCCCGTGCAGGTCGAGGAAGGGAAGGGCGGACTGCAAGGACGGCAGGAGCACGCCATTCTCGGTCTGAGGGGACAGAGGGGCGGCGTGGGGTCAATCTCGGCGGCAGGGAAGTCTAGGCGCTCCAGCAGTGCTGGCCACAACAGCTGAAAGCCCAAATGTCCATCAGGGAGCCTCTGCGGGGCCACTAGGTGCATCGTGATACAGCTAACGGGACAAAGGGACGAGAATCTCAACTTTCCGAGCACCGGTCATCAGCGGAGGGTCGCCGGACGCCCGGCTTGCCACCGCGCCCCCTTCCCGCTGCCGGCGTCCCGCCCACCTGGAACTGCTCGATGGCTTTGAGCGGCTCGGTGCAGTTGGTCAGCGTCTCCTTCAGGTCCTCGCCGTTAGCCACGCCCAGGTCCTGCAGTCCCGCGAACAGGGCCGAGGGCCCGGCCCCCGCCCGGCTCGGCGCCCCATCCCCGGCCCGCTCCCCCGGCGCGGTCGCGGCCGCCGCAGGCCCCGCAGATGCCCGCTCTCCAGGGCCTCGGGGACCGCCCGTGCTCCGCTCCCCGGCACCCTCCAGCTCGGCAAGCTCCTGCCGCCCGGCGGCTCCGCTCGGGACCCCGCAGCAGCCCACTTCCGCCCACCAGGGTGTCGGCCGCCCGCCGGCCGGGCCCGCGACAAAAGTGGCCGCCGCCGCGCAACGGCTCCTGGGAGATGCGCCCTCGCTGAGCGCGACACTGAGCGCGACGCAGAGACCTCAAGAGCCGCGGGCGCCCGAATGACGCGCGCACGCCGTCGACGTGACCACGCCCCGCCCCGGCGACTTCCGCCCCCAGCAGGCTAGGTCACGCCCACTACCACCTCCACCCCGTCGTCCCCCGCTCCCACTAAACGCCAAGCACATCCCTCTTCCCCGGCAGACCACGCCCCAATGGGTCACTCCCCTTATTCTAGGCCACGCCCCAGTGAGACCCCATCCTTTCCGGGTCCCGCCCCATTGTCGAGGTCACGCCCCCTCCCTCGTGCGATCCCGCCCCTACGTCTCCGGGACCACGCCCCGCGCCCCTGAGCACCTGTTGCCGGAAGTGTCTCCGCCCCGCGCGCTCGTGGCCGCCGCCGCCTCTCGCGCCGAACGTTCCGGAGCCGCTTACTTCCGGCTACTGCTCAGGGTTTCAAAATGGACTGTAGAGTTTTTGTTAAATTTCCTTTTAATTTTTCTTTTATAGTGGCTTACTTACGACGTTTATAAAGGTCGTATACATTGTTTTCCACACCAGGGGACTGCTTTTTAACTAAGTGCACGTTTTGGAGCACTTCAGATGAAGTTGCAAAGGGTAAACTGCACTTAACCACTCCACTGCTCTCGTGTTTATGTGGGTTAAGTGGAAACTTGCGAAGGAAACTGGTTTTCTGTTCACACCGTACACGTTTTGTCCGTAACGTCGATCCCAGTAGCCCTTGCTGTGACTGCCCTCCGTCCTCCCTGCTCAGGGACACTCTGGCCGGGCATTCTCCGGACTGCGTCCCTCCTGGAGTTGCTGGTCACTGTGGTGCCATCACGGCGAGCACAGACCTGAGTGCTGTCCTGTGGCATCGTCGTCACCTCTGACATACGCGAGCCCCTGGCTGCAGTCACTGCCAATCCTCCTGGTTGAGGGTCTTCCTCTCTTTTAACCTCCATCTTTCCAAGGACACTGTCCTTCTCCAAGGAATAACCTAGCAACATACCCGAAATACGTGAGGCAAAGCTTCGCCATTTTTGCCTCTGAGCAGCACTCTGGGTGCACTTTCCCCAAGAACTGTTTGTCCGTGGGATATACATTATTCTTACTGTTCGGCTGAAAGTTAAGCCTGGGGATGAGTTTATTCCAAGCTCAAAGGGTAATATTAGAGTCTGTCTCTGTGGCCACAGCATCAGGGTCCCACCAGCCTGTTGGACCAAGTTTTTGAGTTTTGTTCCACATCTTCATCCTCTCTGCCCAGGACCTTCTGCTGTGATCCCTGTCAGAGTGGTCAGTGGCAGTAGCCAGTCCTTGCCTAGGTTTTGTGGTTTCAGGGTTCTGAAAGTTAAGGTTCTTGTGGTCAGTTCTGTGAACTAATCATTTCTATGCATTTGGGAGCTTTTTCCTTTTTTGTCTCAGACAAGGAGAGACCTGCAGTTAACACAGGCTTTTGCCAAGTCCAGGAGACAGAAGTCAGAACAGAGCAAGGAAACACTGCCTGGTTCAAAATCAGGAAAAGACTATGTCAGGGATACATCCTGTCTCCATACCTTTTCAATTTATATGCAGAACAGATCATTCAGGAGGCTGGATTTTATGAAGAATGTGGCATCAGGATTGGAGGAAGATTTGTCAACAACCTGCAGTATGCTTGCTAAAACTGAGGAGGACCTGAAACATTTGCTGCAGAAGTAAAAAACTATAGTTTTCAATATGAACTGAAGATTAACATGAAGAATACAAAGATTCTCACCACTGGGCCAATTGGCAGCACTATGACAGATGGAGAAGAGATTGAGGTTAACAATTTCAGCTTGCTCAGCTCTACAGTCAACACTCCTGGTACCAGCAGTCAGGAAATCAGAAAACAGATTGCACTGGGGAAGTCTGCTGTCAGACATCTCCTGAGTGCTAAAGAGGAATGATGTCAGAGTAGGGTCTAAAGTGCACCTGATCCAGGCCATGATCTTTGCAGTTACTTGCTATGCATCAGAGAGTTGGGCAATGACTAAGGATGACAGAAGAATAATCAATGCCTTTGAGTTGTAGTACTGGAGAAGAGTATTGAACACACCATGGACTGGTATAAGAACAAACAGGCCTGTCTTGGAGAGGATGAAACCAAGTTTCTCCTTGGAGGCTACGATTTTGAAGCTCTGTCTGACATACTTTGGTCATGTGCCCAGGAGCGATCAGTCCTTGGAGAAGGACATCATGCTTTGAAGGATGGAGGGAAAGCGCAGGAGAGGAAGACCCTGGATGAGATGGATTGACACAGTAACTGTTGTGATGGGGGTGAGTGTGTCAGTCAGTGAGACTGGCTCAGGACAGGGCAGGCTTCAGAGGTGTTGTACATAGGGTCGCTATAATTCACAGGCAACTTAACAGCACAGAACAGCACTAAACTGCTGAATGATGTGGAAGTGAGAGCTCTGCCACCTGAGGGCTCTCACCTTGAGGTGGAGGTGCATAGATAATGGTGACGTGTTCCTGGGTGGGCTAAAGACAGCAGGCTCTAGGGCACAGCCCATGGTGTGACTTCTTGCTAGCTGAGGTGGTGCCCCATGGTGCACAGAGCTACAGGGGCCAAGCTGCTCTGATCCCCCTCCCCCAGGATGTGGCGCCTATGCCAGCTTCCTGAAGCCCTCTCTCCTTTCCCCAGGGGCCTTTTAGTCTAAGGACCTCTGCCAGAAATCTCTTTTCTGCCACCATTTTAAAGGGCTCATCCCACTTCTACATTACTTTCTCAGCCCATCTCCACCTTTACTGCTTGTCCCAGACTTGGTCCACAGCACCAAGGGACCTCTGGGGGTCACCTGTAAGCAAGGTTCCTATCTCCCAGTCATTCATCAAACTACTTCTCTGCCTCCTTCAGCCATGGGCAAACAAGTCTCATGCAGGACTGAACACAGATGCAGTGACCCAGTTCCTCCATGGGCTGATGGTGGCACCATGGCATGGCTGTAATAACAGATGGGGCAGCTGTGACAGACAGTCCTTTGTAAAGGTCAAGTTCCAGCAGAAGAGAAGACTAGATCTGGGCCTGGGGCAGGCTGAGGAAGGATATCTGGAAGGATCTATATCTTAGGAGCCCACTCAACTTCAGGTGAGCTCTCAGGGTGGTGGTCTCAGATGACCCCAGGAAGGACAAGTAAGGCTGAGAATAGGGGCACTTAACAAGGTGTGCACACCTGCCTACCAGCTAGCCAGCTTGAATTTACCAGCTTTGGTTTGGCCTTTGAGGCATGGCCCCACTCAGGAGGGATGTGGCCGTGCTGGGTTAGCCAGTGTGCAGGTGATCTTTCAACATGCCTTTCCCTAGCCATTTAGAAGAGGTCGTGGTATTAGGAATATTATAGCTAATGTTAGATGGATCTTGGCAGAAAGCAAAGAATACCAGAAGAATGTCTATCTGTGCTTCATTGACTATGCAAAGGCTTTTGACTGTGTGGATCACAACGAGCTGTGGCTGACTCTGAGAAGAATGGGAATCCCAGAACATTTGATTGTGCTAATGGGAAACCTATACTTGGACCAAGAGGCAGTCGTCAGAACAGAGCAAGGAGACACTACTTGGTTCAAAATCAAGAAGGGGGTTCGTCAGGGATGTATTCTGTCTCCATACCTTTTCAATCTGTATGCAGAACAGATCATCCGAGACGATGGGCTGTACGAAGAGGAAAGTGACATCAGGATTGGTGGAAGAATCATCAACAACCTGTGTTATGCAGATGACACAACCCTGCTTGCTGAAACTGAGGAGGACCTGAAGCGCTTGCTGCAAAAGGTCAAGGACTGCAGCCTCCTATATGAACTGAAGCTCAACATCAAGAAAACAAAGATTCTCACCACTGGGCCAACTGGCAGCATCAGTATGGATATTGAAGAGACTGAGATAGTTAACAGTTTTAGTTTACGTGGCTCCACAATCAACACTCTTGGTAACAGCAGGCAGGAAATCAGGAGAAGATGCACATTGGGAAAGTCAGCTGTGAGGGACCTCTCAAGAGTACTGAAGAGAAACGATGTCAGACAGGAGACTAAGGTGCGCACCTGATCCAGGCTATCATCTTCGCAATTATGTGCTGTGCATCAGAGTTGAACAGTGAATAGGGTTGATAGAAAGAGAATTGATGCCTTTGAGCTGTGGTGCTGGAGAAGAGTGTTGAATATACCATGGGCTGCTAGGAAAACAAACAGGTTTATCCTGGAGAAGGTGAAGCTGGAATGCTCCTTGGAGTCAAGGATTCTGAAGCTTCATCTGACATATTTTGGGCATGTTGCAAAGAGGGACTGGTCCTTGGAGAGGGACATCATGTTTGGCAGAGTGGAGGGGCGGCGAAAGAGAGGAAGACCTTCGGTGAGATGGATCGATTCTGTGACTGGAGCAGTGGGAATAAGTGCGTTTGAGATGGCGAGGTTGGCACAGGATAGAACAGCGTTTAGAGCTCTTGTACATAGGGTCGCTATGAGTTGCAAGTGACTCAGTGGCACATAACAACAACAACATGTAGATGGTCAGGGATACGTGAATGAGGCATGTTAGCCTATCCCACAAGGGGATTGACTGCCCAGTCTCAACAACCTACAATGGCTAGTTCTCACCATTACATTGAGCAAGCCAGAAGCGAAAGGCAGACTGATCTTCTGGCACAAGAGAATGTAGGAAGCCCTTCCTGCTCCCGCTACCCCTATGGCAGCAACAGTATGGGCCAATCTGGAGACCTGATGTGAGCTGGGACCTTCGGAGTGGCGAGGAGCAGAGAGCCAATAATGGCAGGACCGAGAACTTTGTTGGATTATCTAGGGGTGGGAAGCCAAAACTGAAAAGTCTTGGGACCACTGGCCAAAAGGTGTGAGGCTCAAGCCGGAGGTGCCTGTGTGCACATTTCAGGAACGTCCTGACTGTATTCTGCTATTAATCTGGATTATAACCTTTTGACTTCCCCAATATGGTTCCATGTGGTCTGTGAGCATCAGATTTTAGACCCAGCAAAGCAGTAGGATTGGTGTTGAGATGAGTAAAAAGAGGTATGGGAGCATGGGGGCGGGGGCATGCCTGACCTCATAGGAATTGATTTTAAGCTATTGATATATTGACGGAGACAGTTCCCCTTTGTGAAGTTGATAAAAGTCAGCTATGTCTATCTCCATGTGGCCCTTGCTCTTTGTAAAGCTGGGTATCTGGATATCCCAGCTCAGACTGTAAGAGGTGCCAGCCCTGTGTCAGCCTTGCTTTGCATGCAGCCTGGCCAGATGCTATATGGAATGGGGAGGGGGACACGCAGCCTGTGAGGACCCCCACACCTCTCATCCTGTCAAAGGACAGATCTAGTCCATGGGACCACAGCAGTGACAGGAGTAGTGGGGCAGTGTGTGGGAGAGGTGAGCTCTGGCTGGACAGCAGCAGTGAGCGTGTGAGTGAGGACCAAGCACACACAGGCCAGAGGAAGGTCAGCATCTCTGTATAGCCTGGGGTGGGCCCAGGGGTCTGGGCTGCAGCCTTAGAAGGGCCATCTGGATGAGCAAGAAGGGGAGTCAGGGAACCTAGAGAACAAAAGGGGCACTGAGTCCTGAGGGAGGCCAGAGAAGGCCAGGATCCCAAATAATGGGTATGCCTCCTGTGCTCACAGCACTAGAGAGTGCTGAAGGGCCCTGTGTCGTGGCGTTTGGGTCTTCTTGTGCCCTGGATGACCACTCCCGGTGCTGAAGGGAAGCGAGAGTTGTAACCGTCCTTCACATGGTACACACCTGGGCCTGGGCTGTGTGCTGCAAAGAGGTGAGAACTAGCGCCCTAGCTTTTGCCCTCTAGCACCTGTTTCTACTTCCCTCCCCCAGCACTGGGCTTGTGCGCACTCCCTGCCCCCAGCCCACCCACTCCAGTCCACTCCAGCCCTGGCTCCTGTCCCCAAGCCATGCTCCCTAACCCCCAGGCCTGGCCTTTGCTTCCCACCTCCCTGGTTCACATTCCCCAGTTCTGGTTGTTGCTTCATAAGCCCTAGATTTGGCCCCTGGGTCACACCCAAGCCCTAGCCTCCTTACAGGTGCTGATCCAGGAAGTAAAGGCAGGTGAGCGGCTCATGAAGGCGGCTGAGCGTGGACTTTGCAGGATGTCCCCAACGGGGACACCCCAGGTCTGGAGACTAGGCCTCCTCTCACTGGTGGTGTGTGGGAAAGCCGGGAGCGGGGCCTGGCTCCAGAGGCTTGGTAGCCAGCGTGTGCACGCAGGGCCTCCTGGGGTGTGGAAGGTTGGCCGTTGACTGCTGATGCAGAAGGACTGGTGGTCAGTGCCTGACAGCCACTGTAGAAGGGCCCTATTGCTGAGCCCTTTCCAGGACTACTCCCTGCCCAACCACCTGCCCTCCCTCCCCAGAACCGCCCCTCACTGCCTTCTTTCCCTGGCACTCACTCACCTCCCTCCCTCCCTTCCCACCCAGCCTCCACAGTTTCCTTCTGGGGGCTCCCCTGGACCTCTCTTGCCTATCCTTCTACAAAGACCCCCTCCTCCCTGGCACACACAGGACCCTTGCCCAGCAGGCACCTTTGTCTTTGTGAAGTTGGCTTTTGGCATGCAGGGTCTTTCTCTCTGAGCCAAGGAGCCTTCCAGGACCTGCAGGCAGCACTCTCTGTGGGGTAAGGCAAGCTGGATGAGGGCCAGGGGAGGTGGGCAGTGTATGGGTCCCATTCCCAACAAGGTGATCTAGGCACAGAGGGGGCAGGCAGAGTGCAGGGTGCCAGGGCATGTACCATGGGAAGGGGCCTTCCGACCGATGGTGTAGTGGGGGTGAGGGGATGACTCCCGCATCTGCATGGATGCCTCCGGCACCAGGTACTTCGTGGGGCCTGGGACTTCCAGGTCGGTCAGGATCGGGGGTCGCCACTCCACTGCCACACAAAACAAGGTCTGGCCCGGGGTCCTCCCAGCAGAGCCCCCCACTGTACTCCAGGGCGATACCTCTACTCCCCAGGCCCAGCCCCACTCCCGAGGTACTGTCTAGGCATGGCTGGGAGGGGTCATCAGGTCCTAACTTACACAGCTCCTTCAGGGAGTAGATGCAGGTGGGCAGCAGCACCTGGGAGTTGACTGCGCATACCCTGAGGCCGCCTGGGAGCTCCTGGCACTCCTGACCTGCCATTTGTATCATTCGCTTGGGTCTGTGAGGAAGACAGGCAGCAGCTGGGCCTCTGGATACCCTGCCCTCCTCCTCTGTGCCTCCCGGGCTGCCCGCCTGCTGTCTGCTCACTGGCAGGGGGAGGCTGATTTCTGCCCCAGTGGCCCGTGAGTCCAGTGTTTGTTTCCATTGATGTAAAAGTTTGCCAGGAATTTTATGGCCTTCTGGTCAAAATCCATGGCTGCGCCTCCTGCCTCAGCCCTCTAAGGGGCCACAGGCTTTGTGACTTCATCACCCCAGGTCACAGTCCCTCTGTTTTCAGGGACCCCTAGGAAGGAGCCTTCTAGAGTCCTGAAGGAGCTACAGGGTCTCAGCTGAGCTTTGGGGGAGAGGGCAGTGTTGGGAGTCTCCACCCTACTCTGACCCCAGCTGGGCCTGCCCCACCTGCAACTGGGCTCATCATTGTGACAGCTAGCCCAGCTGCTTTGTGCCCCCTCTTTCCTGTGTTAGCCCCTCCACCTCTCCTCAACTCTGGGGTCCTCTGCGTGCTGCAGGCTGCAGCCAGTGTCACTGGCCAAAGGTGGAGAAGGGTGTGGGACCCAGAAAGATGAGCAGAGGGCCTAGGAGATGTTGACCTGGGTACACCCTGCAGAGAGGAGCGTGGGAGTGCACCCAAAAAGCTTCCTGGAGAAGGGGCAGCCCGCCAGTAGCTCAGACATGGGGACAGCAGAGCAGCAGTGGCTAGGCCTGACAGTGTGCCCAGGACTGGCCCAGGAGGCCCACGGGGTGAGGGCCTGTCTTTGGCCTGGGGTATAGGGGCCAAAGGGGCCTACAGACGAGGGACGTGACTGGTGGCTCAGGCCAGGCCGCATGGGCAAAGTCATAAGGGGGTCAGACAAGGCTCCCAGAGCTGTGGTGATGGAACCCCCCGACATGTCCAGTAACCAGCTCCAGCCTTGACATCAGCTCAGGTCCACCCAATTTTGCCCAGCTGGGGCCTCTCATCCCTGATGACCGAAGGACTGAGATGTGCTTAAGGAAACATGAGTTTAACAGGCGCAGTGGGTCCACAGGCTACTTGGGCCTCTCTGTGGGGCAGGGCTGCTTCTGACAAGGTGCCAGTGGCAGCGATGACGTCTTCTGTCAATAAGCTCCTGTCAGAGCCTAGGCCAGCTGTGATGCCTCATCTGATAAACCCTACTGTGGTCAGTGGTGTTGCTGTCCACTCTGCAGTAAGGTGGGGTTGGGCCTCCCATGATGTTGTCCTATATGAGCCTTGCTGTTCCCGCCTCTGCCCAATCTTGGGGCTGTGTAGGTGATGTGCAGGTCTTCCCTGTTGGTCTCTCCAGAAGCCCTTTCTATGCTGTGTACTGCAGTCCCACCATGTTACAAGCGGTAAACACTTGGCCACCGACTCAAAGGATGTAGGGTATGTCCACCCAGACCACCTCAGAAAATGGCCCTAAATGGAGTCCTGGTGGCCTAGTAGCAAGAAGCTGCACTGCAATCCCGGAGGTGCACAGTTCGAATCCACCAGATGCTCTGCTGGAGGGGCAATCATCTCCTGTACCAGTCAGACTTGATTTAATGGTACACACACACACACACACACACACACTCTTTTTTTCATTTTATTTCATTATTTTTTGTGTGTACCGTCAAATCAGATCTGACTGGTATAGGAGGAGATTGTTCCTCCTTCTCCAACAGAGCATCTGGTGTATTCGAACCATGAACCTCTGAAACAATAAAAGTTTTTAAAAAATTAAATGGCCCTAGGGCTCTCTGCCTTCCAATGACATGGCGGCCACCTGACCTGTACCAAACAAGGCAAGCCCACCTTGGCTGCTGGGTTACAAAGAACCCAGTTGAGCCAGAACAGAGGGCAGCTGAAACCCCAGACGCCTGAAGCTCTGGGACAACAGTCAACTCCAATGCAGAGGTGGGGGAGGGGTCACTCCAGGGCACCTGGTGGGGCACCTGGGGCTTCTGACCTCCTGGCATCTTGTGGGGGCCCCCTGGGCCTCCATGTCCATAGGCAGGAGGAAGCATTTACAGTGGCCTCCCCTGGCCTAGGTGGTGCTCAAACAGAGCTGGGTCTCTTCACAATGGTCACCTAGCAACAGGGACTCCTCCCAGGGGAGGCGACCAGACACCTGAGAAAGGGTTGGAGCTGCAATTGCAGCTTGGAGGCAAAATGACAGCAACACAGAAGCACACCCTCTTCACCCCGGAGCCTCACTATGTCCCTGGGTATGAGCAGGCTGTGTGGGGAGGGTGGGTCCAGGAGGCGGAAGCTCAGGGTGGGGATCTTGAGGCCTTGCTTCCCCGACCTAGGTCACAGTCTTCATACAAGGAGCCAGTATTTCCCAAAAGCAGGAAACAGGCAGCTAGGCAATACCAAGATTGGCAAAATAAAGCTGGCCCCTGAAATGTCCATGGTTCCCAAGGATGAGGTAGGCAGCAGTGTAAATATCACCTGAGTAATGATGGGTGCCAGTGCCAGCCTCCAGTCTCTCCCGTGTGAGAGCTAAGAGTGTGACTGTGAGCACGTGGGAGTCCTCACGCATTTGCACACATGCACATGTGCATGCACAAGGGTGCACCCACACACAGACACATCACATGTGTGGAAGTTGGTAGTCTTCATTTCTTAAGCCCCTATTTCCTTTCTTGTTTTTGCAAGACCCCCAGGACATAAGCACACACACATCACGGTCAGCTGGTGCCCCTCTCCCAGCCCGCTGGCTGTGCACATGCTGTTGCTGCAGCCCCATGTTAGCCTTGTCACGGGATGCATTGGTGTGTAACCAACACTTACGTTCTTCTGTGTGCCTCAGTTGTGCAATCCCACTGCACCATCACAGTATCTGTAGACTTCTCCCTCCACCCTTACCGCAAACCAGGAACCCCGCCCCACTGGTCTGTATATTTGCCATTTGTAGGTATTTTGTGTAAGTGGAGTCATTCACAGTCAAGGTTCATCCACACTGTGGAATGTCATAACTTCATTCACTTCATGGCAGAGGGTCATTGAAAACAGACACAGAGACGGCTCCAACACACTCAGCCCTGTCAGAGAGGCAAGGACAGGACAGGACAGGGTTCAGAGTCAGGAGTTGTCGTTCTTGGCTCCATGAACCTAACAAAGCCTGTGCCTTTTGTGGTTATGCACCCATATATACACACAGTCCCGCAGCTTTAAAGCTGTACATCTTGGAGGCATTTGCATAGAGCAGGAATAGCTCATCATATGTGCATGCTATGTCTTGTTCAGCCCCTCAAGTGTGATGGGTGTGTGGGTTGGCTTGACTGGCTGCTGACATGGGAGGCCCTGCACCCAGCTCTCAATTGTTGAGTGCTGTGCTGTTTAACTTTTTGAAGAACCACTAACCTGTGTCATCCTGGCTACCCATTTTGTGTTCTTAGAACCACACTCGTATTGGTGGGCACTGTGGGGCAGAGGCATCAGGGTTGCTTGCCTTTGAAACAAACAATCCTGCCTAAAGGTCACATGAGAAAAGGACAAACCACCTAGGAGCTCACTCCTTGATAAGCCCTCCACCCCTAAACTGAGTCCCAGCTCACAACTTCCAGGTGAGACCAGCTTTCACAGAACAGGGCTCCCCCTGGCCCCACCACCCCACAGTGAGGCATACTGCCAAAGGGGGGGTCAGTAGGGACTGGAACCATAAGAGACCACGGCACCTAGGGGAGGTGAGGCACCCCCTTTACCCTTTTCAGGTGAGCTAATCTGGTTCAGGGCAAGTGGCTGGAGGTGGCAGGCATGCTAGGTCTTTGCCTACCCCGCATGCCCACAAGCCTTCTCCCTGACCTGTCTGCCTCTCCTCCTCTCCCCCCAGCTACGGTGGTTTCTTCCCACAGCTGCGATACCAAGTGGGGAACACTTACGGACGCACCACGGCCCAATTGCTCAGAGATCCCAGGGTGAAGAAGAGTCCCTGCTCTGTGCTGTCCCCCATCTCCAAGCCCAAGTCGCCCTCCGTCCCCGGCCGGGACCTGACTGAGCCCTACATCCCCCACCACACCGGTGAGCCCTAACCCCTCAGCTGTCTGGCCCAGCCCTCTATCCTGTGCTCACCAGCTGCCTCTGTACAGGTCTCAAGCCCTACAAGAACTTCCAGATCGTGGGCAAGTGCTCACCTCCAGAGGAAGCTACCCAGAGGCTGCTGGGGACAGAGGGCACGTCCCAGCAAGTACAGCTGCCCGCAAGCGTCATGCCTTACTCCCCCTACTCACCATGCCCCCCAGGCAGGAAGGGGGCCTCCAGAGACTTTGGATACCCAGGCCTGCAGCTGTCGTCCAGGGAGGAGGGTTGGAGGAGTCCTGAGCAGACCCCTGAGGCCCCAGGGGAGTACCAGGTAACTGCACATCCCCGGAGGGCCCCTGCCTTGCACCCACGCAGCCGTAGGTAGATTCTGGCGTGACCTGTCCTCCCCTCCTCTAGCTTTACCACTGGCGAAAGGATGAGTGTCGGGCCCCACCCCTCCAGGTAGAGACGCTAGACGTGGGAAGATTTGAAAGGCTGCCCCAGCTAGACCACCCTAACTTGATCCAACGCAAGGCCATCTCAGGTGGGGTCAACCTGGGGTCTTGTGGGGGGCCAGGTGGAGTAGGAGGGTGGCAAAGGCCACCATCTTGGCCTGTCCACAACCCAGCCTCCCCATCCTGCTGGGGACACTTCACTGCCTACATCCCCACAGGATACGCAGGCTTTGTACCCCAGTTTGCCTGGGTGATGGGGGTGAATTACCGCACAGGAGTCATACAGGCCATGGACGAGTTTGACAAAAACCAGGTATGCTGCTGCCTCTAGGTCAAGCCAGTCACAGTTGCCCTGTTAGATGTGTGGGGAGCTTCTCTCAAGTGCACCCTGGCGGAGTGGTGGTGATGGGACAGAAGGGAGACAGGTGGGGAAGGCCAGCTCCTGACACCCAACATGCCTGTGTCCCTAGTTTCTGCTCAGGAACCCCATCTGTAGCCTGGGGGAGCGGCTGCCCAAGTCACACTGGCCCAACACCACCATCTACAACAGCCAAGGCCTGATCCCTTTCTACATGGGCTTCGTTCCAGGCAAGTCAGGGGCATGTCCACCACCCCCCACCACGGGCCCAGGGGGCCACGAGGGCAGTCTGGCCAGGTGGTCAGGGCTCAGCCGCACCTGTGTGCCCTACCCCCACAGCCATGCAAGACACCTGTGCCATGACCTTCGGCAACAGCACCAGGAAGGCCTATCGGAAAGAAATGGAGAGGCGGAGACACACTATGAAAACGCTTTAATGCAGTGTCTGTACAGCATGTGAGACAGGACAGTGAGACACGCATCAGGACAGGCTGAGACAAATAAAAGAGTTCACACGGCTCTTGCTGAGGCCCTAGGCCACCTCCTCCTCAGCCTCCTCCTCAAACTCGCCCTCCTCCTCGGCCGTGGCGTCCTGGTACTGCTGGTACTCGGACACCAGGTCGTTCATGTTGCTCTCGGCCTCGGTGAACTCCATCTCGTCCATGCCCTCGCCCGTGTACCAGTGCAGGAAGGCCTTGCGCCGGAACATGGCGGTGAACTGCTCCGAGATGCGCTTGAACAGCTCCTGGATGGCCGTGCTGTTGCCGATGAAGGTGGCAGACATCTTGAGCCCCCGGGGCGGGATGTCGCACACGGCCGTCTTCACGTTGTTGGGGATCCACTCGACGAAGTAGCTGCTGTTCTTGTTCTGCACGTTCAGCATCTGCTCGTCCACTTCCTTCATGGACATGCGGCCCCTGAAGACGGCAGCGACGGTCAGGTAGCGGCCGTGGCGCGGGTCGCAGGCGGCCATCATGTTCTTGGCATCAAACATCTGCTGGGTGAGCTCGGGCACCGTCAGGGCCCGGTACTGCTGGCTGCCGCGGCTGGTGAGAGGGGCAAAGCCGGGCATGAAGAAGTGCAGGCGTGGGAAGGGCACCATGTTGACGGCCAGCTTGCGCAGGTCGGCGTTGAGCTGGCCCGGGAAGCGCAGGCAGGTGGTCACCCCGCTCATAGTGGCCGACACCAGGTGGTTGAGGTCACCGTAGGTGGGTGTGGTCAGCTTGAGGGTGCGGAAGCAGATGTCGTACAGGGCCTCGTTGTCGATGCAGTAGGTCTCGTCCGTGTTCTCCACCAGCTGGTGGACCGAAAGGGTGGCGTTGTAGGGCTCCACCACCGTGTCCGACACCTTGGGCGAGGGCACCACGCTGAACGTGTTCATGATGCGGTCTGGGTACTCCTCTCGGATCTTGCTGATGAGGAGAGTGCCCATGCCAGACCCGGTCCCCCCCCCCAGGGAGTGGGTCAGCTGGAAGCCCTGCAGACAGTCACAGCTCTCTGCCTCCTTCCTCACGACATCCAGCACAGAGTCCACCAGCTCCGCACCCTCTGTGTAGTGACCCTTGGCCCAGTTGTTCCCAGCACCACTCTGACCTGCGAAAGAGCAGCCACTGGTCACTCTCAGCCAGGCTCAAGGCCACCAGTTCTCAGCACTCCTGTACTAAAGGGCTGGGTGAACTGGGGAGTGGACACACCGCAGAGCTGACCCTTCTGGCAGGCCGGCCGGCCGGCCGGCCCTGTCGCACTAAAAGCCAGGCCCACCACTCAAAAGTTCACTTAGGGCAGAAAAGAGACCAAGTGCCAGACCAGCCTCTCTCCAGGCAAGAGGCAGGCAGGGCAGCACAGCCTCCCTCCGGCCCGGCCTGCCTGCTGACAGCTGGCCCTTCCTCCAAAGCCGATTTAGGAGCCGGGATTGAGTGTCTAGAGGGAGGGTGTCAGGGCCCTGCTTTGGCCCTGGGGAGGGTGGACTCTGGTCATGGTGACCTTGGGCTTGTCCTCTGACGGCCTTCCTGGCTGACCAGGCACCCAAACAGTCTCCAACACCTCTTGCTCACCAAAAACGAAGTTGTCAGGCCGGAAGATCTGCCCAAAAGGCCCGGAGCGCACAGAGTCCATGGTGCCCGGCTCCAGGTCCACCAGGACGGCACGGGGCACGTACTTGCCACCTACGAGCACAGGGAGGGCGTGAGCAAGGGCAGAAGAGAGGGCGCGGGGCGAGCGCAGGTGGAGACTGGGCAGGGGGCTCACCGGTGGCCTCGTTGTAGTACACGTTGATCCGCTCCAGCTGCAGATCGCTGTCGCCGTGGTAGGTGCCGGTGGGGTCGATGCCATGCTCGTCGCTGATCACCTCCCAGAACTGGAAAGAGGCGGCGGCGGGCGGCCGGGCGCGGGGCTGAGTCACTCCAGGCCGGTGTGCAGGGAGCGGCCC